TGGGAGAGCGCTTGTATAGAGAGAAAGCATGTTGCCTGATCAGTAACTCCTCTCTTTGTCCACCAGCCTGGTGCTTTATGAAAACGCCTTGTGTCAGCTTCCTACAGCTCTGCCTCGGTGAGTCACAAGCAATAATCCCCCCTCTCACAAAGCAGCAGGGTACAGGGAGGGCTCATTCCTCCCTACCCCTCTCTTCCCCTTATGTATTCTGTGCACTCAGCATTAAAATAGCATTTTGTCATAACTAGACCAATTAGTATCTACCCTGCTAGAAAATAAAATAAACACCCTGTATAATGCTTAACAAGCCTCACCTTATTCTTCATGCTGCTGCGTAAGCTGACTTCCTCTTGACTCCCCTCACGGAAGTCAGAAAGTATCATTCATTCATTCAACAAAGATTTACTGCATGCCTACTCTGTGCCCGGCAATGTGGTGTCAAGAATGCAGGTCTCTGATCTCATGAGGTTTACGGTTCAGTGATGGAGCTAAGGATTAAACAGGTTATTCCATAAAATTATTTCACTGCACCTATGATAAGTATAGCAGAAGAGACATACGAGGTGCCCACACGAGTTATTAAATGAGACCTGATTGACTTAAGAGGGTCAGTGAAGGGGACCCATGCAAGGCATCGTTCAAGCTGAAATCTGGAGGATGAATATGGGTGGAGGAGAAGAAGAGAGAGCATCCTAGGAGATGGAAGAGCCTGCATGTGGGAGCTGAGGCTGGAGGGGCCAGGCATGTAAGTGACCAGGTGGAAGAACAGAGTGTGAGGAGGAGGGGCAGAGAGGATGAGGAGAGGTAGCAAGGTCAAGATCAGGCAAGGCCTCACATAGGCTATCTTAAATATTGGGTAGTTGGTCCTAAGAAAACGGGATGCCACTAAGGATTTTAAGAAGGACAACAACATGGTTGGGATTTTATTGAGAAGCATCACTCAGCACAGTGAGGATAATGAATTGAAAAAGGCAAAATGGCCCTAACCGGTTTGGCTGGGAGGATAGAGCGTCGTCCTTCGGACTGAAGGGTCCCAGGTTTGATTCCGGTCAAGGACATGTACCTTGGTTGCGGTCACATCACCAGTAGGAGGTGTGCAGGAGGCAGCTGATCGATGTTTCTCTCTCATTGATGTTTCTAACTCTCTATCCCTCTCCCTTCCTGTCTGTAAAAAATCAATAAAATATATATTTTTTAAAAGTATAAGAAAAAGGCAAAAGTGGAAGCAGGGAGACTAGTTAGACGCTACATGGTAGACCTGGCAAGAAATGAGAACAGTTGTATTAGGATGACTCAGTGGAAATGAAAACAAGCAAATAATAATAATAATAATAGTAATCATCTTTACTGAGGAGGCAGAATGTAAGTACACACAGGAAGAACTGGGACAGGGGCACAGAAAGGATACCTTGATGGTTTGGGACCTAAGTAACTAGACCGAGGATGTGCCATTTGCAGAAACAGAGAATACTTGAGGGGGAGGAGCTGGGTGGAATACTGAGAGATAAGGGCACATGAGTTCAGTGCTACACAGGCGAAGTCAGAGATAGCTCTGAGATATTCGAGTGGAGAGAATCAGTAACCAGTCGGATATATGAGGTACCACACATTAATGAAGATCATTCTAGATTATAGCAAACACTCTACATTCTTTTAATTTTTTCTAGAAAAGGAGTATGTTCTAGAACTTGGCTGCTCAAAATGGAAGTTGCTAGCCACATGGGGACTGCTTAGATTTAAATGAATGAAAACAGATTTAAAAATTAGTTACTCAAGTGCTGACTGTGGCTAGTGACTAATGCGTTCGACAATACAATGGACATTTCCATTATGGCAGGAAGTTTGATCAAACAGCTCTCCTAGGACCTCAGAGGGCTTGCTGTTTATAAGACTCAGCTCTGACCAGTCTCAGGGTGAGTGTTCAGCTGTCATTCTATCAACACCAAGAAATAGAAACCTATTGTACTGTGTGCCCCAGACAAAGCTTTGAGGTTGAAGAAGAAGATATGGAAAAGAAGGAATGATAATCCTTGCTATTCAGATATATGTCTATCTATATTTAAAAGACAGACGCAGGATGAATGCCAGGGGAAGAGTGTGTGAGGGGCGTGGGGAGTGAACTCACATTGTAAAAACATCACCAGGTCAATTGGGGCGACTCCAGTCAGATGAAAGCGGGTGCCAAAGAGGCATTGAGTCTTTATTTAGTTTTTGACAAAAGAATAGGAAATGGATTCATGAAAAGAGAGGGCAAGAGGGCAACTCAGTGAGGAAACCGTTTTTTCAAAAGGGGGGGTGGACCTTCGGAAAGCCAGCCGTGTTTTTCTGAAGGAAACAGAATCTGGGCCGAACTGCATACGATACCGAGTCATGAGGGAGAGTCCTTGGGGGACAAGTAGCAGCATTAATTGTGCGTTGACTTAACACTGAGGCTAACACAGACCCCGAGCTAACCGCTGGGGATATAAATAGTGATGGGACCCTGACCTTGTACTCAAGGAGGTTCCAGTCTAAACACCCACAATCAACTACCAGGCGGTCAGGATAAGACAGCCGAAAAAAAAAATAGGCTTTATGAGATATGTTCTTGCTCAACAAGCATGCAAACTAAACAGCATATTTGCAATATGCAAAGGCATGTATCTCACCAAAAGCATATATTCAAAAAGTACTCTGTCCATAGGTGCCTGAGCTGTGGACAGAAACTGGTAAACACAAGAGGGTCCTTGCGTGAGCCGTGATGGGACAGAGTGGACATTCGAGTGCTTCTCCTGTGAGCGTTCTCACTGACTTCATTCCTTTTTTTAACCAAATGAACAAGCCACGGACATTCGAGTGCTTCTCCTGTGAGCGTTCTGACTTCATTCCTTTTTTTAACCAAATGAACAAGCCACGGGCTGCATGGCACAGTTTGGGTTACTCCTCAGCATGTCAGGTTTTTAAAATATATTCATAGCATAAGCCATAGCTCAAAGTCCACAGAGCACTGCGTAGCATTAAGTTCAAGGTTAATGTTCGCCCTCCCGTGAAGGAACGTGAGGCTGTGACAGGGCTTCATCCTGGGCTGGAAGGAATTCTCGGGCTTTCACAGGTGATGACTGGGTTTCAGGCCTCGGGGAAGACCGCTCAGATTTCAGGATGAAGATGGAAACCTCTATGATGCCACCTTTTATGGCTTTTCCTTTGTGTGGTATAGCCATGCCTTTCACTGAAATGTCATTTTCCATTAGAATTAACTGACATTTCTTTTCCGCTGATTGCTGGGTGATACTACTGAATAAAATACTTATCTTTAAACATGTATGAGCATATTTAAATTCCTTCAGCTGTGTTATGTTGCCATGTACTTTGTACCCGATTTTTATTGGAATAACTATCCACTTGTACAAGGGCTAGCTAAATAGAAAAACACTCGAATGGGTTCTATTTTGGTAGTGTTGGTTTTTTAAAAATGTATTTGCTTTACTTGCCTCTACGGATGGAATTTAGCCACATTACTCACTGCGCACTAAATTTCTTGTGTTTTGTTGCCTACTGTAACACTAATGCCAGCATTTTTCTTCTTAGCTGCTTTTTCTCAGGGTTATCAGAATATTGCTGCATATGCAGACCCGATGATTTCCTACAAGCTTCTAATACATCCTCTGTCATATTTCCATTCTAAAACGTTCACTCATGGTTTAAAAACACTTAAAATGTGCAAAGCAAAGTGCTTCATTTATTTTCCAAATCATTTTCCTCTGGAGTTGGAATGTGTCTTAAATCTTAGCTTTTTTATGCTGCTAGAACGGTAACTATCAAATTAGCAAAGAGTAAAACACCAGTACGGCTCTGTGCTGGTGAGGGCATCCTCACACACTGGTGGTAGGGAGGTAACTCGACACATTTTGGCAGCTAAGGAAGAGTTAAACCAGTGGTTCCCAATCTTTTTTTGGCCATGCCCCACCTAGGCATCTCTAAAATCCTGATGCCCGCCCCCCATGACATATAATTCTTATTATTCAAAAAGTGAACTCCTCTTCACATGGAGGAAGCCTAAAAGGACATTAACTTGGTCTAAACAAGATTCCAAAGAACATGGCATCCATGAAAGAGAAAAATAATTGAACGAAAGGACAGCTGAAGTACTGAGGAAGAAATCACTAAGAAATTGTTTAAAAAAAATAATAATATGGAGTGATATGAAAATATAGCAAATAAAGTTTTAAAACATATAATAGAGAACTGAAATGCATAAATATGTCACAATATGTATTTATATATCGTATATGAGGCCCCTAGAACCATAAGAAATGCAAAATATTCACTGTTAATAACTCCTTCTCGAATTGCCCCCCTTAAAAATCAAATTGCCTTCCTGTGGGGCATGTGCCCACGTTGGGAACCAAGGAGTTAAACAGTATGCATGGCAAACCTTAAAGGTGAGAAAACCATTAATGTAGCAATTTTACATACAAGAAATCATCCTGGTTATGATATTCACCTCAATGCAATTGATAAGTGCAAAAAATTAGAACAATATGATTATTAATAATAGAAGACTAAATAAATTATAGCACATTCAATGGTAAAATTTAGTGGAGCCATTAAAAAGGGTTGTTAGAAATGGATTTGATGACATAGAAAGGTGGTCCTGATAAAACCATATCTCTGGAATAACAGCATTTGTTTTCAATGTATGTGTGTGTGTGTACACAGCAAAATATTTGGAAGAATGGGGATTAATAGTGTTTTCTGTTGAGCCCTTTTTTCTCTTCTATTCTTGTCTACATGTTCTAACTTTATACAATAAACATGTATTGCTCTTGTGGTTAAAACATTACATTTTTTAAATAGCTACCATTAGACTCTTTATACTAAATTGCCCTGCCTCTAGGCACAGAGGCTCTGAACCCATCTAGCAAGCATGGCTCATGAGGCCCTGGATCTGATGACCACCCTCCCTCCCAAACCCTGGTCCCGGCTCAGCTGTCCCTGCCACGAGCCAGGCTCCTGCTCACCAGGCTGTCCTGGATGCACGGGGTCTCCACCAGCCTCCGGACTCCATTCTCCACCGTGACTCCCAGCCAGTTGAGCGCTGCCCAGCACCAGAGGTAGTCGTGCCCACCATGCCAGTAGCTCACAAATGCAAAAGTCATCGCCGTGGAAAACAGTGTCCCCAGCAGGCCGTGTTGGGACCCGCCCACTGGAATGTACACATACCTAGAGGAAGAAGAGGCTGTTAGGAGCCATGCAAAGGGCTGGCCCTGCAATACACCCGGTCCCCTGGCCTGACTCTTCTATCACACGATGACACTCACCGTGAGCAGACCCGCCCCTATTCCAGGAGGCCACGGAGCACTCCTCGAATTCTCCCATCGTGCAAGGAGCTGGCAAACACATAGGCCTCGGCCCTGCGGGGCTCTAGGTTAAATGCACACACGGTCAAAGAGCTCTCGTTACCATAGCAAACGGCACTTACAAGAGGCCGGGTGAGGAGTAATGGACTTTGTTTCTACAAGGGATGTGTCCAACCTGGAAAGCCAACCACAGGAATGGCAGTGAGGCTCTGGCTACTTGGGGACACCAACATTCAAGGCAGGCAGGCGTGTCCTTTACAGCTCAGACTATGAAGTTTATGGTAAACCCAGTATTTAAGCACAATTGCTGAAACAGCAGGAGCCCGTGCAGAAGAGGGGTGCCAAGGCCGGTTCCTCAGCTTTCCAGGCAAGTTGCCCGGAGGCAGGAGTGAATTCGCAAGTGAGGAGAAGAGCTCTGTGCTCAGAGGCAGCCAAATTATCACCCCAAATGCACAGCCTTCCCGGGGTACATTCTCTACTGCCGAGACAGCCCTCTGGCTGCACAGAAGCGGGTCCGTGTTCTGCGATCAGGATTTCCTTCTGGAGCTGGACAAGATGCACACCATGGGTTGGCAGGGCCTGCAGAGCTAGGTACACACCCTTTACAATCTGTCCTGTCTGTATATTAATTTTTGTGCCAAATTTCATTTTGAAAATCATTTTTTAATAGGACAATTTTATAAGAAAGCCAAAGTATAAAAATAAAAGCCATTCCTCAGTCAATAAAAAAATATTTCAAGAGACTGTATGATCGCAATGATTTAAAAATGTCCTCCTTTACTCTCAAATATGCTCCAGTTTAGATAATAAATTACATGATCAGCTTAGATAGCCCCGTTTTATGGGTGAGAAAACTGAGGCTGAGAAGCTAACTTGCCCAAGGCAGACGGCCAGGAAGGAGCAGAGCCAACCTGCATCTATGGCACCAACGGTAATGTTTTCCATCACACCTCTGGGTTTATTTTGAAAACCCTCTATTTTACACCCCAGTCTGGAACAAACCAGAACGCATGGGAGAATGTAGCCATTTCAGAAATAAGTGAAGCAACGCAAATACTTTCTCCTGTGCAAAAACAAGACCATCTTGACAATCAAATTAGCAAATATGTACCCAAGCATTCGCTACAGGTTAAGGGATCCTCCATCTGCTGTCAAATATTTAGCTAGGCCTCCAGGGCAGTCCTGGCATCATGGGAAACACAGCGACATAAGACAATGGTCCTGCCAACAGGACAGGTGTAGCTCATGGTGAAACAATAGCAAACGCGGAAACAGGGTGCTATGATATAAGGTAGACCAGGAGGGTTTCAGAGCGCGGAGAAGGGGGTCTCTGGAGTGGAGGCAAGTGGGGCAAGGAAAGCTTAACAGCAAAGGTCCCCACCCTGGCAAGGCCTACAGGATGAGTTTTTCTAGGCTAAAGGGAGAAGGGTGGGTGCTGCACCATGGACTTGGAAGGGCTGGGCAATGAGCCAGAAAAGCTGACAGCCCCAAGCACAGTGGTTTTAGTTGGTGTTCTGCTGCCCCCTAGAGGCTATTTGATTATTGGTCTAGAGTTCTCAGCAGAGGACCACAATTCTCAGCCTGGACTGGACGTAACCGCTGCCCATCACCACACTCCATCTGGCTGGACTTATGCGGTCAGTCTTGTCTGTAAGGAGGCTGTATGTAAAAAAAAAAAGAGGGGTGGTCAAACCGATTTTAAAACATATGAGGAATGACTACTGTTTATGGAAACTGCAGGTACCTGTTTTATACAAGTTAATAGTAATACGAATACTCTTCTCACCTAACATAACTGTTTTGTGGTGAGATTTTCATTCTGTCTCACTATCCTACAGGGAGCTCCACCGGGCATGTCAGAAAACCCCGGACAGCACAGAAACCTCCCGTCATCCACACCAGCGGGCCTTCATATTGGACCCAACTCCAAAGGAACGTGTTTTCAAGCTTGTGACGAGGAAGCATCCGCCCAGAACTACATGCTCAGCTATTTTAGGCGTCTCCTGGCAGGATGGCTGTGTGACTTTGCCTTCTAGCGGACAGCCGGCAAGAATTCCTTTCATTGTGGAAATTCAGACGTGGCAGGTCTCCAAGGACATGCGTCTGCTTGTTTGAAACCAGAGGAGGGTCTGGTCTCCAGGCTGGAAGATCAACCTCCCTTCTTCACGCTTAGCTTCTGGAAGGCAGCAGGTGTGGCAGGAGGAGAGTAAGCAGGTTATTTCCTTTTGACAAACTCCACCAGCCTTGTGTCAGCTCCGTGATTCATAACGACAGAAATGTCTCTCTCTGAGAAAAGCAGCGGTGCGGCCCCACTCTCTGAGATCCACTGCTCGGTGACATTGATTTCCCCGTGGAAGAAAGCGCCACTTTATCAACAAAGCACAAATGAAAGATCTCTCGTGTCAGTGATCGTGTGAGCGCGGGTGTGCCCAGGGCCGCCCTCGCTGGCCGGCTTCGCTGGTCACCGCCTGTAGAGACGCTGCTTGGGGAAGCTGGCACCCGCTGCAGCCACTTCTTCATGTCAAGCCATCTCACAGAATCGGTGAAGCCCAGCAAACCCCGCACAGGAGAGTAACCTGGGTAAAATGCGGATGCTATTAATAACGTCTGCCCTTTACTGGATGTCTGTGAGCCAGGTGCCTCGTATATACCATTCCTAATCATTAAAGCCACCTTGCAAGGAACCACTGGCCAGGAGAGGTGAAATCTGGACCTAGGACGTTTTGGCTTCTGCACCCCGAGGCCCGTGTGCTATTAAGCCATTGATCTTGGTGGGACCGTTTCTTGGTGATGTTTTCCTCTTGTTTAACCAACTCTTCAAAGCAGTCTCCACAGAAGCATCCACTGGTATTTTATTAACTAAAGAAATGTCCTTTTAGGGAAGGAATCTTGCTCGGGAGAAAGACACTCGTGACTTCAAAGGAGGGTGGGCCGAAAAGCTCTGTTTCAGAGGCCAGAGGTGTACGTTCCGTTTTTAAACAAACGGGTCTCCTTCTGCCCCACGAGCAGAGCTTACACCTGCTGCCCCGACCCGGCTGGCGTCCTGCAGCTGTCTGACTGTGTGGGAAGTGGGCATGAGAAGCTGATGGTTGGGGTTGTTGCTGAGCGGGTGTATGTGAAGGGAGAAGATACCTATTTCCCTCATATCCACTACGACAAACTCGGGAATATGCCTCGCAGTTGGGACAGGGGTGGTAAGAATCCATGTGGTAAGTACACTCATCTTAAAACCACATGCTCCCTTTTTCCGGGGCCTCTGCTCCCTTTTCCCCGGCGTGCCACAGCATCCTCAAACTCCCTGCCGAGGACCAATCCCAGACCTCCTCAAGATGAGAGCACGGGGCACCTAACATCCTGGGTTTCGCTGTCCCGGGGACTAAGTCCAGGTGGGGCTGCAGGTGCCCAGTCTCCAAGTACCTACTGCTTGGCAGGGCTGAGGCCAACACCGGCTGGCATCCTTCTCCGGCTCTGCCTGACCTTCCCACCCTCATTTCCCAGTAGTTCTCCTATGAAATCTAAGGTCCTGAGCAAATGGGGTTCTCACGCCTCCATCCTCTCTGATTTCCCAATTCCTATTCCGTCTACAAATTCAGCTGATTCTCTCCACCTCCCCATGAAGTCTCTTTTGAATATTCCAACTCTCTATTTAACCCAGAGAACCTACTGTTAGTGCCACTGATTGAACAGTTATTCGCCAAAAGATGTCTTCTCATTAAGGTTGTCATTTTAACCGAGTGTAAAATTCCTCAGGCAGTACTAGAGGGGTGTGTGTGTGTGTGTGTGTGTGCGCACATGCGCGTGCGCACCCATCTACACATGGTAGTTACTAATCAGCAGTATTTCTATATCTAACGACATGATTTCCATTTACTTTTCATAGCCTCCCACAGTTTTTAAACTTGTGATAAAGGTCACCACTGCCACAGGCCCATCGTGAGCAATTAGGAACTAAGAGATGATTATAAGGTCCTGCCCCAGTTATTGGGGGAGACTTCGGAGGACACCGATGCCCAGAGAACACAGACACTTGAGGGGCCCTGAAACCTCTCCGCACTTGGTGATCCTACTTATCCTCGCAACGTCACAAGCACGTGGCCCCACCTCTGGAACAATCCCAACCTCAAGTGATTCCCAAACTGAAAAGTCCTAGCCTTTCACAGACTAGAGTCCGCAGTGGCTGGGAAAGGCAAGACTTCCGGCTGCATCACACTGGCCTCACCTCGCTTCACCTGGGCTCTGAGATGGGCTCCTGCTCAGAGGTCTTTGTAAAGCTGGCCATGCTGTCCTGGAGCCCGCTCTCACGGGCAGTGGCTCCCCGGGCGCGACCCTGGCTTTGGCCCTGGCCTTGGGCCGCGTTGAGTTCTCTTTCTTCCAGCTCAGGATGACACACCAGCCCGATTCTTATTCTCTCGGTAGTGGACAAAGGCCCACTGTCTAGTTCTCACCACAGGAGCTGCAGATCTACTTATGAAAAGTTTTCAAAGATGCACACAGAAAAGAATATAATTTACTTGTAATATCTTCCTGTTTAGTATAGACCATAATAAAATTTTAATAAGTAAAAAAGCAGCAGTTGGTTAACGGGCAACTGCAGACTTTACCATCTTCAGAAGGCTAAGAGAAGTCCACTTCAAAGCAGAGGGCACATGTTGAGGGGGGCTAGCTCTCAGCTCTTTTACCGAAAGATGCTGGCTGTAAGTTTTATACGCACTTCTGAAAAATTGCCTATTAAAAATACCATGCCCTATTCGGCAACAGAACATTGTGTAATTTATAAAATAGAGATTAAACTCAGGCGATAGTTAGTCTACCTTTAAAGTTCTAAGTTCATGTGATTAGATGCCAACAAATAAAAAAAATTAA